GGGTACTGAAAGCAGCAAATAAAAAGATGTTTTGTCGCTATCTAAAACCTAGCATCTTGAGTAGTACATACTGCTGTGGTCTTTGCCTCTAAGGTGGGATACTGTTAAAGAAGGAACAGAGAAACTCAACAAACATGGGCAAGGGGTTGGAGCAGCTGCCATAAGGAAGACATTAAAAGTTTGGGACACTGGTACCATTGGTGGCAAAAATGCTGCCATGAGCACTAAGAAAGCATCCCAGCCCCAGTAGCAAGTGGAGAGAAGCAGATGCAGTTGTTCATGCTACAAGATTGCATCAAAGGGAGGAGGAAAATCTGATAGCACAGAAGACCAAAAATATAACTAAAAAGTGACTAAAATGATATTATGGTGTCAAGGCTTGCAAACATCCAACTAGGCATCACTCAGTGATGCAACAGTGTTTAGGGAGGGAATATATCCTGAGCACCTTCAGAGCAAAACTGTGAATCAGAAAAATATGCACACTGCATTGAAAGTCACATTGGACGTGAGGAATTTAGACACAAAAATATCATCCTGGCCATGTGAAAACTATTGGGAGGTAATTATGACTTCAGTGGAAGTTAAACTGTTAAGTAATTCAGCAAAAATCATACAGTGTCAGAGGGAGCTCGGTGCAGCTGGAGGTCCTACCTCCACAGAGGCAGCCACTGAGCTCCCCTCACCCTGCATTGGAGCACAGCAGAAACGAGAAAATCATTTGAATGTAAAATTACTCAGGCATAATTTTCAAAACTTAGAGGAAGCGTGCTACACCAACCATTTTCTCAGCAAATTATTAACCAGGTGACGAGACAGTGCTGGAGCAGCAAAGCAAGCTACACAGTACCGGTGTGCTGTGTCGTGTGGGTGCATTGTCCTGCAGCTGTCTGACAGCTAAAATCACAATTAATTCACCGAATCTCAATGTCTCTAGGCTTTCTGGAACATAGTGAAGAACCCAATATGCCCGTTTTAGCTGGAGGAGGCCACATTTACAGGCCTAAAGGTCAGTGTATAAATATCCCACAGAGTCTGCCACTTTTAAAAGTGCTTCTGGAGTATGGCCAGCACTGCGATATTTAGCATAACTTTAACACAGGATGCCACATGCACCTTGGGTGCTACCACACACTTGATACTGCATGGGTCCAACAAGTAGACAACCATCAAAGAAACTATGTTATGTCCCATCCTGTGCTATCCCACTGAACTAGAACAGAGGGGGACTGCGGGTGAGGTGGACTATTATTAAATATTATTTAATATTAAATAATTATTTAATATTCATTATTTAATATTAAATATTGTTTTGTGCATGTGGAAGGCCTACCTGTTGAGCTCCAGCAGCGTGCTGAACACAACCCAACCTGCAGCTCCTAACTGAGCAGTGATCTCTGGTGAGTCCAGAAAAGACCCAGAGAAGAAGCAGCTGTGCAGCTCTCGCTGCCTCTTATCTCCTGTGTAAGTGAAAACATTTGTGGGTCAGACATGGGAATGGTTTATGTCATATGTTCAGCTATGCAGTCTTCAGAGATGTTGCAAGAAAAGAGTGCAGGGTGCACTTCTGGAGATCCAAGAATTTATTCATCTGGGGATCTTGCCAGTAAGACAATATTAGTACTCATAGAATCACAGAATCATTTAAGCTGGAAAAGACCAACCATCAACTTGACCTACCGAGACCCACTTGACCATGTCCCTCAGTGTCACATCCACACATTTCTTAAATACCTCCAGAGATGGGGACTCCACCATTTCCCTGGGCAGCCCATTCCAGTGCTTGACCACCCTCTCTGTGAAGAAATCATTCGTAATAACCAATATAAACCTCCCCTGGCACAACTTAGTAACTTTTTCTCATGCCCTATTGCTTGTCAGCTGAGAAAAGAGACCAACACCCTCCTCACTGCTCAGGTGGTTGCAGAGTGCTGAGGTCTCTCCTCAGCCTCCTCTTCTCCAAAATGAACAGTCCCAGTTCCCTCAGCCACTCCTCATATGTCTTGTTTCTAGTTCCTTCAGCAGCTTTGTTGCTCTCCTCTGGACACACTCAAGCAGCTCAATATCCTTTTTGTAGTGAGGGGCCCAAAACCAAACACGGTGCTCAAGGTACGGTCTCACTGGTGCTGCACACAAAGTGACAATCACTTCCCTGGTCCTGCTGGCCATGCTCTTTCTGATACAAGCCAGGAAGCTGTTGACCTTGTTGGCTATGTGGGCACGCTGCTGGCTCATGTCCAGCTGGCCATCGACCAGCACTCCCAGGTCCTTTTTTGCTGGGCAGCTTTCCAGCCACTTTCCCAAGCCTGTACCACTGCACAGGGCTGTTGTGACTCAAGCACAGCACCCATCACTTACCCTCCTTACCATCTGACCTTCTCCCTGAGTGCTTTCTCTAAGTTCTTTCAGAGAGAACGAAGGCCTGTAGCTGATCCCAGAGGCAATACTGCATAGAAATAACCTGCTTCCTTCCTCTGCTTCAGCCCTCTGTAGATCCCATCATCATCACTAGGAACGCTGCTGTCAGGAGCCCTTTCTCCAAATTATATCTGTGCTCCAAAGCAGCCCAAGTGAGCTAACTCTGGTTAATGCTTTCCAAGGAACCAATGTTGAAAAACTTGTATATGTGAAGGTTAAATTCACACTGTATCTGTTGATTTTATTCAAAACATCATTCTTTTACTTGACTACATTTTGTCAATAGTTCTCCCAAACCTGAATGCATATAGCACCCTACAAATACATATAGTGTTGTAATAATAATAGTTCCTTAGTGTAGTTTTGCACCAAAGCACAAGTAAACCTTTTTTCTTGCAGTAACTTTGTCATGATTAAATTAATTAAAGCTGAACATGCTCCTTGCTTCCTCTTGCAGGTCCGTCTTCCTAAAAAGAGCTTTTTATAAGAGCTATTACACTATAATTGGTATTTCGCGTGCTCTTAGACTTTTTTTTTCTCTCTCTCTGTTTGTTTTATGCTGTCTGGACTCTCTGAGTTTTGCCATTTTGGCCCTGGTGCGCTCACTGCTGTGACTCACGTATTCCACAGCTACTGCCAGATCTCTGAGGCCGACGTTGTAATTATCGCGTTAGGACCTGTCACTGCAGCTCTGACTTAATAAATAGAGCAGTGATTAGAATCACTGATTGATCCATCCCATGGTTTTGGACACTCACATCTGAGATGAACAGATGGCCTGTGGATATTTAGGGTTTGAAGTGTCAGCATTACAGATTAAATTAGTATTAATTAGCCATTCCATGTACACTGGCTATTATATACAGTGAGTATTTCTGTATGTGATAATCTGGTGATTATCAGCTAAAACTGTAAATCAAATTCATCTCCTACACTGCAAAAGAAAGCCCTGGTCCTTCCCCTGTGCCCCACTCACAGGTGACAGGGGTCCCTTTCAGGTGAAACACAGGGTGCCTTACAGGACTGCAACTACAGCATTGCAGTCCCAGGTGTGAATTTGGTCCACAGGACCAGACTAGGCCTGATCCACAGCAAGAAAAGTCCTGAAGTATGCAGGGTGTGGATGCCCAGCACCATCCCTCTCACTCCACATCCAGAGGTCAGGCACTAACACACCCTGATGGTGTCTGAGCAAGCTGAAGCAACAGCTCCCGGGAGGGGATGCTGCTGCTGGTGGTTCTTCACCCCACAGCTTCCACCATGCTCAGCCCCAAAATTTAGGACAATCCAGGAGCCTACAGGTTTTAAAAAGAAATTTTATTGTTGTGGTTTAGAGACAAGTAAAGGCCATGAAAACTTATTAGGTAACTCCAAATTTTTATGAATACCTGCTATGCATGAAGCAATGCTGTGAATATGAATGGCTATATGATCAACGTGGACACTTTATATTTCTTCAAAACCTGCTTGGTTTAGAACTGTAGGGTCCATAGGTTGACAGATACAGAACAGGCTAAAGAATTGCCCTCCTTGTGTTCAGCTACACTTTTAGTTCTTGAAAATAAACATCTGTTTAATTTGTGCCATTTTATTTCTGTTCATGAACAGGCAATAAGTTCTGATAGCTAAAAAGTTCTGAAATTTCTCCTGGAGAGCCCTGTATTCTCCAGATTGCTCTGGACAGACCTCAGGTTGCATTCTGACAACTCAAAAGTGCTTAATCAACATCCAATGACAGGAAACTTGTCTATGCAGTATTCAAAATATTGTCTTCTGTTATTTATTCTAGATAAGGAATTCCCTTCCAGGGAGATCTGAATGCTGCACATACATAGAGCCACCCTGCAATGTGATATTTTACCCCTAGATAAATCCCCAAACTTTTTTTTCTACCCCTAAAACTCTTTTCCTGCCCCTTTAATCATCCCCTCAGCAGATGCAGTTTTGGGCAAACACTCAGCAAGCTCATTCCTTTCCAGAGTGTTTGGTGGAAACAAGCTGCAGTATGAGATGTGGAAGGCAGTTCTCATCTTAAGGTGTCTCCTGTTCTCGCAAGGAAGACAAGCTGTCAGGCTAGAGGTTTGCTTTTCCTGAGCTATCTGTTGGCAAAGTGAAATGGCTCTACATCTACCTGGAACTCGGAGATGTGCCCACATAACACAGTATAGTCAGGAGGAAAATCTGTGCTAATATCATTATTTCCAACATAAATTGAGGTTCAGGTCATGCCATGCCAGCTGATGTTTTCTGTCCTTGAACGTAACATTTCACTTAATTTTGTCTCCAAAATAGGGACAACGGTACTTATCTACATTTCTGACGTGTTTTCAGACTCAGGGGCCAGATACCTTTTTTAAGAATGACTTATTTTTATCTCTGACACCACAACTCCAGTTGCTCATAAGGGACACCTGTACACAAATAGCTTTCAGGCTGTGGGTGATTCTTGCTTTGTGATTTAGGTTGCTAAGTAGCCTCTGTGTTCAGAGACACAAGGAATCCTCCTGGTAGTTGTGGTGCAGCAATCTTCACGAGCATCCAAAATATTTTCTCAAGTTGAAAGAATTCTTAGGGATTTCCTGCTGAGGCTCAAAGGCAGTCATATATTTTATTTATTTTATTACAAGGCATGTAAGTAAAAACTTGCATATCTGAAAAAAAAAAAGATATCAGATAGAAAACAGTAATAAAATTAACATTATTGTTTTAAGAAACTTGGTAATAAATACATTTCCCCTCAACATTAAAATGCTTGTTATTTTGCATGACAATAAATACAGCATAGCTCTAGCATAGAGAAAAGCCAAGACTAGATACAAGAAGTCCATGTGGTTTCTTAAAAAAGCTCAGGTGATTTATAAAGGTTTGGCATCTTGCACTTGATGTACTTTGATACAACTTGTGCTTTAATTTTATATTTACCGTGGTTTTTAAACAGTCCCATAAAATGGAAATATGAGAGGAAAATTTGATTGATTACAGGAATTTGCCTTTAAATATTTTCAAAGTAAGAGATGTGTAAACTCATTGAAAACAATCCTTGAAATAATAAAAACAAGTGTCTTGGTGGCTATTCTACAGAAATGCAAATTTTTTAGCTGCGGGTGCTCAAACCTGACCAGCCAACTGGCAGAGGACCAATCCCTGGTCAGTTCCTCAATTCTTTACACAATTTTCAAAAAAAAAAAAAAAAGAGAGAGAGAAAAAGAAAGGAAAGAATAATGACAGTGAAAAAGAGTAAAGAAAGCAGTATTTACTTCCCAAGTGATGACAGTTTGAGGTTCTTAAGCTATTATCCAAAGCTGAGAGGAGAAGCAATAGGTATATCCCAGAACACTTCCCAGCATAACTTTGGGTCGTTCTGGTCTATACTTTTAAAACTACCAACATAAAAAGAAAGAGATATTTCCATGCACTGTGCTGTTCTTATGCCAGCACGTATCATCACAATCACAACTGTGAATCTAAGTCATTTTCATAACCCAATCTAATATAGATTGATTATTTCCCACAACATCGTTAGGTAATGTCCACAAAATGCCACAAGCTCTGGCAGAGTCCAATGTTCTTAAAGTACTGATAAGTCGTGGCAAGACTTGGACTTGAGTTTGAAGGCCATATTCTTGTTGTTCTTGGCAACTATTTTGCCCCAGAACCGCCTGGCTTTCTTCGGGATGCTCTCCCTCCGCTTCTGGTAAGCCAGCCTCTTCTCGTTCTTTTCCTTGCTGTCCCTCCGGAGCCGGACTTGCCGCACGATGCCTTCAAAGAGCTCCTTCACGTTGTGCTGCACGGCTGCCGAGGTCTCGATGAACTTGCAGTCGAACACAACGGCGCATGCTCGGCCCTCTGCAAAATCGCAATGGGGACATGTCATGAGATGTCACGAGCCTGGGAGGGAGACAGCACAGCTGCGGGCTGCCACGTGCAGGGAGCCAGCACCACCGGGGAATTCCTCGAGCCTAATATAGCCAGGGATAAGTCTTTAATCATCTAATGCTGCCTGGTAGGCCATGATTCATCTGGTCTGTGTCACACTCCCTTCTCAGCAAGGGGGGGTCAGTCTCCCCATGGAGAAGCCCAGTCCTTGTCATCAGCTGTGAAGGAAGGGAGCCGGGGCTGGCTGACGTGCTGAGACATCGAGGGGGGAGAGCTCAGCCATGACTCAAAATCACCTGGTCACCTCGTGTGCAGACTCCCCCAGGTCACCTTAAAGGACAGTGGCAGTGCCAGCCATGTGTACAGGAGGCAGGACCCTATCCCCTCCACAGAAACCAGGGTCTTCAGACGGTATCAGTTTTGGTGTGAAATTGTACAAAAGTCCTTCAATAAAGGCAGAACTATGCCTATAAATTCAGAGGTACATGTGAAATCACTGTCCTTATCCTTAACTGCCCGAACATACACTAACCTTAGCAGCCTTCTTTTACATGCAAGCCAATTTATGCTGTCTCCTGTCTTGGTGTGAACTCATCGCCAGGATGACTAAAATGACACTAACCATCTTTCAAAGGATTTTTCAAGTGGGCCAGAGAGGCATGAGAAGGAAAATAGTCATCTCTGGGCTCCCGAGTTTGAACTTCAGTTCAAACTCTTCACTTAGAGCAATTGTGACAGGGGCTAGAGGGACTGTGCATATCCCCAGTGAAACAAAAGCCTAGTTCAACTGGGAAATAAAAAAGCAGAACAGCTGCAGAGAAAGGAATGCTGAGCTGAGGAACCCATGTTTCTTGTTGGCTCTGGCCAAGATGAGATTATCTAATACATCGCTGTGTGTTGTGTTAAGCCACCTAAACCTCAGGGAGGACTGTCTAAGAAGAGATTTTACTGACTGAAGAGCTTGAGGGTTGGCAGCAGCTTTCCTGGTGGTCTCTCTGTTCCTTTTTATAGGCTTAAGACTCCCTGTGCTTTGGGTGCAGGGCACAGGCTGTTTATTTATCCCTCTACATGCAGCAGAGGGAGGACTGCTGTAGCATCCCAGAGCAAGGCACCAAGGAGAGCTGTCCTGGAAGGCGGTGAAGTGCTTGCCCAGGTTAGTGAAATGAAAAGTGAGAGGGAATTTTAACTCATCAAGTAGTAAAATGTCTGAGAGGATAAGGAACTCATTAAACAAGGAGAAAATCTTTGACATCAGAAAAAAAAAAAGGGGGTTTTCATAAATGTATTGGAAACCCAAGGGGTTTCCAGCTACCAGAGCAATCTCATTTTGCAGTGGTCTTATGCTAGGAGCTGGAAGAGAAACAATTCAAACTGCTTTTATGATGGAACTTAAATTTGGGAAAAGGATTGCTGAAAAAAATGGTAGACCCTCCCCAGTCCTTTGTCAGCTGTTCCTCTGTTGCTTTATTGCTCTCTTACTGCCTGGTCCCAATCACAGTGTGCTCCCTCAGCCAGAGCTCCCTACGTTGCTCAAAAGCTATTATATGACTCTTAAATTTTGTGTAGTTTTTATCCTCATCGTTCTCCTTACCTGCCACTGAAACTTCGCGGCACCTGACAAGGTCGCTTTTGTTGCCAACCAAAATAATGGGAATATCTTCTTTCTGGCGAGCTCTGCGGAGCTCTATTCTGAGTTCGGAGGCCTTCTCAAAGCTTGCTCGGTCTGTGATGGAGTAGACAATCAGGTATGCATCTCCCACTTTCATGCAGTGGTCTCGAATCCATTCTCCTTCACGCTGTTCAAACGAAATGGTCAGACAATGTTATGCCCCGAACAGGTTTTACTCAGAAAATATAACATTAGCGAATCCAAATACATTCCTGCTGTAGCTGCACTGGGCATGGTTTGAATCACGGTTGTACTAAAAGCCATTCCAAAGTGGTGACCATATGAATACTTCATCACAAAGGAGGGTAAAACTTGCCCCGGATAATTCATTGTGTTGGATTTAGGCTGGAATGAACATGGTCTGGAAAATGGCTTGAATGTTCTGTTTTATCATTAAAAAAATAAAGGCTTGCTCTTCTCAGGCTCACACTACAGAGCTATTAGGCATGCTTGGCTTGGTGCAGGGAGGGGATTGATCCTGTATCTTCCCTTATGTTGAATTATGAAAAACATTTTCTTTCTTCCTGAATAGGTACCTACTTTTTCTATTAACACTCATCTATATGCACTTTTCTTTTGGCATGTGATTGGCATACGTAAATAAAAGTACCTTATTATCCCACATGTCCAGCAGTATAATGGTTGCACTCTCCCCATCCACCATCAGGGTTCTTTCATACGTGTCTTCTGGAAAGAAAATCAGAAATGTTGGTAATACATTATTTTGTGGCTTCATGTACATTATAAAAAAACAAATAGTTGACTATGTATAATTTGTTCGCAGTTCAAGTTTTTGAGCCAAGTTTTGCGCTGGCTCACATTCAGTTCTTTCCTCATTTCCATCAGCACTAAACCTGCCCTCTGCTCATTACTGGTTGTCTAACTTTCCATGATATATGAAGGAGACAGAGAGATCAGGAAACGAAATGTTCATTATTTAGGTCGATATTCTCTTTATCTTATGTGGGAGAGAGAAAATAGAACCAGTGGAAGAAATAACCAAAGGCTGAACATTTGCCCCATGGGAGCAGCGGAGTCCAGCGAGGCTGAGTAATGGAAAATATTTGCTTTCTCTTTAGCAGGGACAGTTTACGGGTGAACAGTCACTGCTGCGGAGAGCAATACAGTTAACAGCCTACCAAGCAAAGAGGACAGGGGGTTGTGAGACGGGAGCTGTTGAGTTTTAGGGAGACCGAAACGCCTGCTGCATCCCATTTCTTTCCCATTTCACAGCTTCCCACATTACCTTTGATGTCAAAAAGCAAAGGAGTCAACAAACCACAGAAGATAATTATTTTGTGCCGAAACCACAAAAACTCATATCTAGATTATAAACACCACATGACTAAGTTCTGCTTAGATCAGTGTTTGTGTGTGTGTGTGTGGCTGTTTCCACTCAATCACAATCAATCCGTGATGTTAAATCTCAATCTAGCTTCCACTTCAAATACTATCTTCCTTCTTCTCCCCCAAATCCAGGGACATTTTGGTGAACAATATGGGGTTTGGACCTGTCCTGAGTCCTGTGTTGCTGGTCAGTGAAAAATATTGGGCTTAGGGTTTCTGAGTGTACCACACCTTTCATGGCACTGGGTCAGGGATCTGTCCCAACCACGCTTGTAGATAGAGCCATGTCTTAACTCTTGAGTCATAAAACTTCTGCTGGGTATTAGCGGAGTGAACTTTCCCCTACATTGTAATCACAGGCTTTCCTCAAAGCCAGGAATCTACATCCATGCAGAAGAATCAGCCAAAAGTATTCCACATTTAAAATAAAATCAAACTTTGTAAACAAGAGCTCAGGTTTGGCACAGCTTAAAGTAGAGGGGATCAAAATACAGAGCTAATCAAGGGGAGCCCTTTCCATTGTAGGCCCAAGAGCATGACATCTGTGATTGTGAGTTTGATTAATCTCGCTGCCAGTAGCAAAACTACTCCAACAAAGCAGCTGTATTCCCTCTGTGAATTGGCTGTCCTGAAACCATCAACTCTTGTAATAATATTTCCACTCTGCAAGCTAAAGTTTGGAGTTTCTTCAACTGATCAAGCTTCTGCATGGGAACAAGCTCCATAGGCAGCAGAGGACAACATTTAGAGGACTGCTTTGTTCTCTGTGACACAGGGAGGGGCTACAAATACATAACCACACTCCTTGAAAATGGTGTGCCCCAAATGGTCGTACTCAGCAATGATTTGCACCTTGGACAATCCTAAGGAACTTCGATAGGGTATAAAAGACACCGAAAGTGAGCAATTAGTTCATCTCATGCTTATTTTGAAGCTGACATTAATAAATAAATAAATAGATAAATAAATAAATAAAAATAGGAGAAATACAACAACAGCAAGTTTTCTGATACCTCCAATGAGCTGACCTTGAAAATCTGTCATGGCTACGCTCCAAGCAATAGTTCTGGGAGTACAAGCGAAAGAAAAAACCACACTGCTTTGCATGGAGGAGAAGGAAACCATCTGACAAGTGTGCAAAGTAAATCAGCTGTGTTTTCTGAATGATTGCCCAAGGGTCCTAACCAGGTTGCTGGAGCAGCACTAGGAAAGGTTTTATCAGAGATATTGCAGGTGGTGAAGCTGATGGAATTTCAGGAAAAGCCAGTGGAAGGTGAAGGCAAAGCCTGCCTGAATTACTGACCCAGGGTCACAGCACTGTGGGGAACGTCAGATTCCCCAAAGGCACGAAGAGCTGTGCCTCCAGTCTGGGAGAAGGAAGAAGGTGGCTCCTACCTTCCTAGCCCTGGGCTATATTATATCCAAACTGTGTTAAATCCTGGCATAAAATAAATAAATAAATAAATAAAAATATATAAAAAAAATAAATCTGTTTTTGCTCCACTGAAGACTTGAAGACTGGAAGAGAAGCCCAGAAACTCTCTGTGCTAGCACAGGCACTGACACACCAGGAAGGGATATGGGAGAGAAGAGAAAACTCCGATGTGTTGACTAGCAAAACCACCCAGCAATTTGCAAGTCCTCCTAAGGTGACAGCACCTGTGTCCTTAGGGCCACAGCAGACTTCTGTCATGGCACAACCCTTCTCCCACCACATCCCCTGCACAGTATGCCTTACAGCTGGGTGCCATGCATTAGCTGCTCTTTGGGACTAAGGAAGGTTTCACAATCCTCAGAAATGCAGACGAAAATAGCAAGGGGAAAGCATTCATGAAAACCCTACAGCTTCTGACTTTTCCCCCAGTTTGGGCAACAGAAATTTCCCTACAGTGCTGAAGCATCTTTATCTATTTTTTTCCTGGGGGAACCCAACCTGTGCAAGGAGCATGAAGGAGGGGTAGGCATATTTACTCAAACTCCATACAGCCTTCACTGAGGCAAGGCATTTATATATAAGACTGAGATGACTTCTAATGGCAAAAGTTTTTGAGGTGATTGAAGGACTGGGCAGGGTTTTTTTATTTTATTTTATTTTATTTTATTTTTCATTATGTTTTATTTCTAAGCACTGCACTCTCATAGACCGCGAGGACTTCCAGTGGTTTTCCCTGCCTTATAGAAAGCTGGAGGTGACCCCACGGAGCCTGCAATGACAAGTGTTGGACCAGCATGAAAACTGAATGGCTTCAAACAGGTATTTTGAAATGAAAGAGCATGAGAATCTGTATTGTTCTCTTTCAGAGGCTTTAGACTGTTGTTGGAGAGCATCTTACTCTATGGAGCTTGTTCTGCTTAGTTTTGACAATCAGATTCAAACATTTGCTGCATCAATTTTAGTTTAAACGGCCTCTCTGATTTTCTGTGCCAGTTTCTGCTGGCAGGGCCCATTGCAAGCAAGCACAAACACCCCAGAGCACAAGGACCTACCTCCCAGCACCTCGCAGTCGCTGTCGATGCTGTCGTGTACCCCCGCGAAGATGTTGGCCAGCGATGACTTGCCCACGCCGTGCTCCCCGATCAGCACCACCCGGTAGCAATTGCTGCCGGACTCAGAGGAGATGACAGAGTCGGACGACTCCGAGGACCAGCTCCTTCTGTAGTACTCGTCGGGGCTGATGGTGTATCGCTTCTGTGCGTTGTACTCGTTGGAGTCCTTCTGGACCAGCAGGTTCTTGCCGTCAGCGGGGATGCTCCACCGCTGCTGCTGCTGCTGCAGGCTGCTGGTGTGGGTGCGACGCATGGTAACGTTGTTGAGGGTCATTTTTTACCCCTGGTGAGAAATAAGGAAATCACACTTGTTACCCACAAAACAAATGCACTAGCACCCTCGTGTTAACTCAAGGCAGCGCGTCCTGCTCTTGTATCCAGTATACAACGGAAGAAAACTGAGGCTTTGAACTCTTTCGCAGTCGCTGGTATGAAAAGAAATATTTCTAGTTAGTGAGTCAGAGGCTTTTTCCTAGGGATGATGCCACCCTCACATGCTAAATCCTATCTTTTACAAGCTCACTGCGGTGCTAGGTGCAGCCCAGCCTGGGGGAGGCATGGGGAAGACCAGAGCACACACACTGCTGCATCCCTGCTGGGACTGCCCTGCAGGCACCGCTCCTTACCCTTCGTGGCTGCCTGGGGGCAAACAGAGGGACCAGTCCCAGCTGCCTCCAGCTAACAAACTCAGAAAACCCTCATAAGAAAAGAAAGCCAAGCAAGCAAGCCTTGCTGTGGTTGGGTGGATTTGGGTCTCCCCTATGGCAGGACAATGACTGCTCCAGGTGGTGGCTTTCTGGCTGCTGAAAGGAGGGACGCAGCCAAGCCCGATGGCTTTTCTGAGGAGGTACAGGTTTGAGCTACTACAGGAGGTAGCACTGGGAGAAGAAGCTCATAAATTTAAAGATATTAAATCAACAACTTCATTTACTGCACAATTGGCTAAATAGGTTAGCTCTTCCTGTCCAAGCATGGCTCTTAATTACATTTTATGTAGCAAACTCTATTTTGCCTTGGTTGGAGTCAGAGGACAGTGATGTCATTCCCACTGGCCAACAGCTACCATTTTTAGGAAAGTTACTTTGATGCATTCCAGTTCCCAAAGTGACAGTTATTTAGACATTTTGCTTTTTCTTTCCCCCTTTTATATATATATACATATATATATATATATATATATATGAAGTTTCTCAGCTCTCTTCTCCATATTAGTAGGCAGGATAAATGCCCATAAAATTCACCGGATCACTTCCAAACTTGAATAATAAATGGTGAATGAAAACAAAAAAGTACAGCAACACATCAAAACAACACGTACAAGTCGCTGGTCCACTTCATACAACACTCTCTGAAAACTTCTCAGAAAAAGCACACGGCAGGTCAGAGAACAAACCAACAAACAGCACTGTCTGAGCTTAGTACAACATATGCAATATTTCTCTGTGATGCACAGTGCTGAGAGGCAAAATTAGATCTAACTGGAGACCAGGCAGCAAGCAGGCTGCTTCACAAACGAAGTGAATTATTAACCACAATTTAATTTTAATTTTTTTTTTTTGGAGTTTCCCTGCTTAAAAGATCAGATGAGAAAAGCCAGCTCTAATTCAGCCACACAGCAACACCTAAAGATAAGTTTCAATAAACAATCCCCGAGCAGCCTCACTCACGATCATCTAATGATTTCTTCTCCAGCAAACTACCATCCCTTGCTAAGCAAATCCTAGCGAGACCAAGGCTTATAAGGCACGATTGCACATCGTGGTCCGAGTGCAGGCTGGTTTTGGTGCCACAAGCTGCCTGGAGCTTGTTGAGATCTAGCAAATTAGGCACTACACACCGCACACAACCCAGGGCACCTCATCCAGCAGTGTCTTACTTGTGCCTGGCTCCTGCTCGCAGTCGGCTCGCGCTGCCCTCCTCTCCCTGTAGACCGTGCTACACCGCGCTGCTCTGCCCAAGTAAATCCTCTCCCGCTTACGGGCTGCCTCTTTAATTCCCTCTCGGCAAACCTGGTTTATATTAAGCCCATCTGATCAGAGACAGGGCTTTTCCGTGACGTGGTCGGCCTTTCCATACAACAGCCAGCCCCCAGCTGGGAGGAAGCAGACATGCAGAAGAGCAAAAACTTACAAACAGGCTCAAAAGACTTACTTGAAATCATATGATTGGCTTAGTACTGCCAGCAAAACAAACACATTTGGGTCTTACACGATGAAAACAGGAAAGTGGAAAAACACATAATAATACGTGCCCGTCCACCTCAGTTTTTCAAGTAAATGCTATTAGAACTGATGATGTTTTAAAAATGACACATCTCATTAATGCATAAAATGCTGTAAATGTTGGATGTTCTCTGTCTGCAGAATGCAGCTGACTCCCTGCTGGACAAAATGATTCTTTGGAATAAGGTATCTGAATGTTATTTCACAATTGCATCACAAGTAAGAATATTACCCTGTTGTTGTGTTTTAAATCTAATTTATACAATCCTATTTTTCTCTGTCGACTTCCAAGTCACTGCACCCAGTTTTCTGACCTGCATAACCAGCTCCTATTTCTGCTTCTATTCCTTTCCACTAGCAAGGGCTTGCCAAAACACCTGGCCTCACACTGAGCATTGCTCCAGCAGGATGCTGGCACTGGAAAAGATGTATGAGCACTAGCGGGCACAAAGTCTGGGCAGCGTAGTTCTGATTCTGCCTGCAGTTTATTAGGAGAGACGAATCTATGGTGTATGTGCCATAAAACAAGTGCCTGCTCCTTAAATTTTTATCATCTCATAACTCCTTGGCAGAAGAAAAAAAGAGTAAATCCAAAGCCATAATGTATGCCCCTGGGTGACACTTCTAACAAATGTGGAAATTACTTCTGGATTAACAGAGAAAGAATAATAAACATCCACAAACCACTTGGTAGGCACAGCACTGGTTACACAGAAAATTATGGAAAATGCCTGCAGTTTTCCCTTATTTTAACAAACTCCTAGTTTTTCTCCTGCCCTCTGCATTCCCCCCTCCTTCCCTCCCAGATGAACTGCTGACAATCCCTCGCCGTGCACTTAGGAACTCTGAAACATTTCACTTCTGAGCAGAGGAAGGAGCATTTTGTTTTGTGGTGTTCCCTGTGAGCAAGCTGCAGAGGGAAACAACCTCCGGTTGCTGCCCAGCACTTACGGTGCAGAGCTCTACATTTTCATGCCTTGCTTAAACCCTGTCTAGTGGATAGATAGTGGACCTTTACAAAATTCTTCCATTGAAATATGCCCGCTTTCTTCCCCCTTTGCCTCTGTTGTCCTCTTGCATCTTTCATGAGGATTTTCAGGGATCTCCTGAGCCCAGCCTCAAGGAGCCAAGAGCGTTTCCCAAAGTCATGCACATTCATCAGTGCATGTGGAAATTAGTCAGAGGTACCGAGGGGAGGATGCAAACATGCCCTGATTTTGCATCACCTTGCTCACCAGCAGCTGCCCCGACCCCAGGTCCTGCATCCCCCCACGGGGCAGTGCATCCCTTTGCTGTTTGTGCTCACTGTGCATGGAAAAACACAGCAAAACCTCCACCAGGGGAAGATTATGGCATGGCCAGTGGAAATCAACACGGAGCACTTTGCTCTTGTGCTGCCGGTACACTCAGCTCTGCAGTTGCTCTTTTTTTTATTTTAATGAAACATTGGAAGTGATGTAGGAGAGTGGGTGGCTGGAGAAGTGTGTGCTGCACCCGGGGTTCACTGAGCTCTCTTTAGGTTGCCTTCATTTGTCACCACGTGTGACACAAGCAAAACCTGTCCGCCACGGGGCTGGAGATATTTATGGCCGGATCGCTGCCAGCAGAACTGTGGGCTCAAGCATCTTGTCCAAATGTTTAACTTATATCATAGCAGAAAGCACAGGCAGTGGATATAAAGCACGGTCAGAAAAGCCTTCGTGTTTAGCTATGGTTAGTGTTAGATCAGGAGTCGTTGGACATCATCTTGTGTACTTTCCTCGTGGAATGCAAGGCAGACGCAGAAAACACGGCTCTCCAGCAATGCCTTGATGTATCTTTGACATTTAACCCTGCAGCCCCCATTCTGGATAGGGTCTGCAGGTGACAGAGAGCTCTTAGTCCTCAGGTAACGCCTTCAGACCTCATGAATCCATCATTATAACTGCGGGGAAAACATTTTCTTCCCTTTTAAAAAAAAAAAGTTAGGGAGAATTGCATCATTTTCAGCCTTCTGCTACTTGCTTTTGAGGGATAGGAGCACATTGGTTAATGAATCATGAACTGAGCCCTTCCCAAGGGGGCTGGCTATCGGCTTGCACTTCCAAACACAGCTCCGCAGACTGATGGGTGGTTCTGCGGTCCCGGACTGCTCTGTCCTCTTGCACTCTTTGCCGGTCAGCACTTCTGCAACAAAAACCGCCTGAGACGTAGGTACAAGGAGAGAAAAAACATAAGGCCGAGTGCTGTCGTAAAACACACAAGCGCTTGGATGCTGCTGGCTGGTGCAATACTAAACTGAGAGTGATTGCTTTTTGCCCGTCTTGTCCATCGTGTGCTTCAATAATCGCATCTTGGAGGAATGTTCCCTGCAGCCAGGCTGAAATAAACACTGCAGAGCAACAGCTCTGCAATCCCTCTCTGGCCACTTACAGTTACACCAGGTGATGCCCAGAGCAATTAGGCAGAAATTTTCCATTGGATATAAAACAGGAGTGCGTTTTAAGGCTGGCACTTTATTAGCTGTTTTGTATTTATGCACATGAAGGCAAAAGTAGTTCCTCAAATCGCCATCTAGCACGAAGGTCGTGCTAGAGGGGGTCTGAATCAGCTTGGAGGGGGAGAGAAATGCAAGGGAAAAAAAAAACAATGACAACGATAAAACCAAGGAGAGCAAAACTCAGATTTATTTTGCTTGAAATTGAATGCTGTGTCTGAAAGTACACTTGCTCCCTGCACATTCAGCAGAAGGGTATATCTTTGGTTTTCCCTGTAAATGACCTACTTCAGCAGCCTGTGTTCCCAATAGTTAGTTGCCTGCAAAGGCAGTGAATCCAGTCCACCACCCTTCTTCCCTCCACACCATACCAGCATTTTACATTTTTCTCCACCTCCCACATCCCTCAGTGTTGGCTGGCCACGTGGAAACTCTCAGTCCCCATGTAGCATCAGCTATCAGCTTGCCAGTGGACAGAAATGTGTGGGGGGGACAGGCATGATGCTGGGCAGGACAGAGCGGACCCACTGGTATGGGGCAGGTAAATGAAGGATCGTGTGTCTGGGAATAACTACTGAGGGTCTTAAGTGGGGATAGGGAGAGAAGGAGACTCCGAAACTAAGGAATAATAAAATTTTGATCTATTTTACTGGAAAGAGAGTCAAAAAATGCTCTTGAAAGTGCTTCCCTACCTAAAAATGTTTAATAAATGAACCAGTGCTCCCCTTAGAGGGGCAGATTTGGTTGCCTCTATCTCAGCAATTGCTTGCAAAGGGTTCTGACGTTGTTCCAGCACCTCCTTTTCTCCCACACCACAGCAGCATTTTACAGTTCTTTACGTGGACATGATCTTCTGGTGGTGGAGCACAAGGACAGGGGAGAAGCATTGATCTGTTCTTCCTCTGTGCAAGACAGCAGGAAAAGCTGGCATTAGAGCTCTGAGGGAATAGGATTGCCTTTAATCAGCTGTCTCATTAGGGAACCCCTCATTAGTCTATTTCTGGCAGATAATCTGGATTCTGATGTACCAAAAGGAAGGTGTGCTCCACATTTGAGCTCTGCAGAGCTTTTGTAATTGTGATGAGTGTCCAAAAAGTATTTTCCCCATTAATACGGTAAGGTGTCAAAAACAAATATTAAGTAGAGGGTGAAAAATGAGCAGCCAAAGGAAGCAATGCAGTCAGGACCATAACAAATTACAAATTATAAGTTACTTTTTAGACTATTTAACTGAAAAAATAAAAGAAAACAGCTATCAGATGTGGGAAAAAAGCAACAATAACAAAAAGCAAATGGAAGAAGTGAATTATATAGCAAGAGTTAGAAAAAGGAGGGCCTACTTCCCACCCTTGCGTTGAATGACATTAAAGAATTCTGCTGATAGTTGCCCAGAGAACAGGATTAAGTCATGCATGACATAAATAAATGTACTTTTCAAGTAGAATTGATGCAAATATTTTTTTAAAAATCATAATATCCTAATAATAGCAGGATGTGAGTTAGCTGTAAATGTTCTTTGAATGCAGAGCTAAAAAAGCCTTTAGAGAAATGGACCTTTAGAGAAATAGACCATTTTCTGCAGCTGGGATCTTTGCAGCACGTCACAGTCCTCCGTGGAGTCTGGCTCGTGAGTCACAGTCTCCTTTTCAACTTGGGGTCGTGACTTTCCAAAACAAATCCCACTTGCTTTTATAGTAGAAAGCCGTGGTGGTATTTAATGATAAGCAACCTCTGCATCAGCAAAACATAGGTTGGAAACTTCAGCAGAATATCCCGGGTCTCTGATCTTCAGAAGTACTGAAGAGAAATCCAGAAAAAGGTCTTTTGATCCAACCACAAATTCTCCTTCCTCCCTGCGATACCCGAAGCTGTCACACAAAGGGCAACCAACAATCATTGCCAAGATTTGGGGGTGCTGGGTCACAAAAACCTGCCCATCCTTCAAAAACTTCCCCACATTTGACAGAAAGCAGAGATGTACCATCAGAGGCTTCCCGGCACACGGTCCCACAATCTCCAGGGAGGTTTGCTCCAGCTGTCATCACTGCCTCTTAGTTTTTATTGCCATTTTCTCCAGCTCTCCATGCATGGACACACATTCGCCAACTAGCACCCACCGGTTTGCTCTCTGATTGCATTTATCTCGGTGATAAACCCATCTAGGGTGGGAAGAGCGCCTCATTTCCCGAGCACAGCACTTTGCTCTGCAGCCCACATAAGCATTGGATTGTGAAACTTTTTCTGGTTTCCCATCAGCTGGGGGCTGTTATCTGCATGGAGGAGTCCCTGCCATGTGGGCTGGGAGAAGGCGGGTGGCGTGATAATGCCTGGGCAGGGTCACTGG